ATAAAATACATTACAGCACCTCAATAGTGTCTATTATGTGTTAGTATCTTTCATCCAGCAACAACAGTCAGTGCTACAAGTAATATACTTGTCTGTGCACAAACAATCATCTCTTGGAGGCTTAATGTCCCAGAGAAAGTTGATAGATTTAATGCGTGTCTGAGAAAGTAGAAAAAGCCATTAGTTCCATCTACAGCTAATGGCTTGTTTCACAAGCACCAGAGAGCATATATGAAGCCTTGAAGCTCTTCTGAATGGGATATCACTATGCCTGAAGTACCTAAAAAATTCTTTATCACAAGAATGAAATATGCAGTCAAATCAGTTACTAACTGTCCAAATCAACTTCCACATTGACTTATACAGTCCTGCCTCTGAACAAGTACTGTTCAATCTATATCAGTATTTCAACTGACATGCTCCCAGCTATTTTTGAGCTCATCATGCTGTCTAAGAGCAAGACAGCACCAGTGAGAGACATGTTGAATGTCAAGTGGCTTAATATGAGGACCTTTCAATTTTGGCTGCAATTTTGCCCACTTTTTGTCCACCATCAACTAAGTGTCTTTTTCTTGCTGTGACTATCAGCTCTGGTTGCTGCCAATTTATCTCTGAGTCTCTGTCATCTGAGCTGTAGCTATACAGAAGTTGAGTAGGCATAGCTTTGTTGAGATTTGGGATTGAGATAAGAGTTGTAGCTGAGTTTAGAAGAGTTGTAGTACACAACTGCAGTGGGGTTTGTAACAAGTCTCTTCCATATTGGAAAACTTTCAGCTACATACATACTACAAGTGATATGTTTCTATAATATTCTAGTATATTCCTACACTACTCCAGAGTCTCTATGCTCAGTCATCAATAGACTAACTTGAGTACTTGGATCATCTCAAAGTTTCCAGACATTTCTGAATTAATGCTGAGTCTCACAAACTATATTTGATACAATTGATCATGCCTGATCATGTTTGATTCCAACACTCTCTATCAATCCAGTAAAGTCTCAATCCCATTGTAAAGTTCTCATGCTTGAGTCTGTGCAGCTATCAGGTCCTTGATTGAGTAATATTCCAGCTTAATAATATTGTTTTCAATCTTCTCTTATACAAAATAGTTGTGCATATCAAAGTGCTTTGATCTAGCATGATATGCAGGATGATGAGTGATGGAAATAGCAGACTGGTTGTCCTCATAGAGTACTGTAGGTAAATGTTGGTTCTACTCTAGCTCTGCCAATACTGTTACTATAGTCTTTTTTCCATCAATAACTCATTTGTAGATACAATCATCAGCCTATAGCTTTGAGAATCCAATTTCTGACATTTTTCTATTGAATTTATGTCCTGACTGTTTGAGACCATATAATGTCTTGTGTAGTCAACAAACATGGCCTATACCATCCTTATAACCATCTGGCTGCTGCATATAAATTTCCTCCTCAAGTTTGCCATTTAGATATCCTCCTCTGACATCCATCTCTGCAATTTTGAGGGTCTCTATGGCTGCAATTACAAAGGCTGCTCTGACATATTCTAGGCATACTACTGGTGCAAATGTCTTGAAGAAATCAATTCCTTGGATCTGAGAATATCCCTGTGCTACCAGATGTGCTTTGTGTCATAAATATGCTTATTCTGATTGACTTTCTTTGTGAAAATCCACTTATTGCCTATAGGAGATCTTCCTGGAGGTAAATTCTCTATGGTGTATGTCTTCATTACTTCTATAACACCAATCCCCTCATCCATAGCTTCTTCCATTTCAGCCATTCCTTTGATGCTTTAGCTTTATCTAAGGTTCTCTGAAGTCATTTCTGTATGTGTTTTGGCTTTTCTGCATATAGATGGATGCCTGCAATCAAGGTTCCCAAGGACCCTATAATTATGGTCATCTAAATTTTGAGGTGAGCAGCAAGGTTTTTCTTCTTGCAACTTTATGTTTATAGATGCAGTAGAGTGTCTTGATAGTATGGATTGCCTCTGTACATCATTGGGATGCTTGGAATATACTTCTGTTGAGTCAGAATGACTATCAGTGTCATTTGGATGTGTTCCTCCTTTGCCATTCAATTCCTGAAGTTCAGAGATGAGTTGTGGGTTGTTTTGACTCCCATTCTCCCCCTCGAGCCGTGACTTCTCCCTGCTTGTGAATTCAACTGTCTTTGGTTGTTCTGCGAATATCAAGTTCCTTGATACATGTATGGATCGACTTTTGGGATTATAATAGCCAATTGCTTTTTGACCATCCAGAAAACCAACAAAAGTGAATTTCTGTGATTTGGATTCCAGTTTTCATAAGTTCTTGCCCTCTGTTGCCATCCAGACATCACATCTAAATTATTTGAGGTTAGAGACATCAGCTTGCTTCCCTGTATTCTCTTCCTCTGGTGTTGTTGCACCCAGCCCTTGTGGTAGTGCCAAATTATGAATATAAGCTGCATATTTGACTGCTACTTCCCACAAGTAGGATCAGAGACCTCTAGCTATAAGCATAGTTCGTGTAAGTTCCATTACAGTGCAAGTTAATTGCTCTACTACTTCATTTGATGAATGTGCATAAGGAGCAGTTGTTTCAGCAGTTGTTTCCAGCTTCATTCCCTTTTCTTTCAGTCAATCCTTGACTTTCCTGCTCACCAATTCCATGGCATTATCCACTCAAATGACTTTTCATGTCAAGCAATACAGCCTTTCAATAAAGGTAATATACTCCTTGATTTTATCCAATGTCTTACTTTTCTGCTTCATAAACTTTGGAGTACATTGTCAGATTGCATCACCAGTAAATTCAATATGTCAATCCCTGGAGTGAAGTGATGCATGCAGGCCCTCAAATATCACATTGAGTGACATCTCCATGCTTCTGGCTTCGATTTTTTCCCTCCTATGGGCATGGATGATGTGTTTTCTTTGTTTGTATGCATGCCTGACATTCAGATAATGGTAGTGAGTCTTGATCAACTGAGATGATACCATCCTTCTGTAGTTGCTCTAATCCCTTCTTTCCAAGATGCATATATCAAAGGTGCTATGAATTCCAAGTGTTTTCACTTCATTTAAAAATATGTAACCTTTCTGGATTCATTTGCACTCGCATTTTCATGGGGTAAAGCCAATTTACTTTCTTTGCCTTTGCTAGCAGTAGACCAGTGTTATGAATGAATGTTACTTCTCTATTGAAGAATTTAGCATTCAGTCCAGCATTATCAAATCAGCTGATGGATATCAGATTTTTCATTGTATTTAGTGCATATATGGTGTTTTTTAACCCTTTATTTCACAGTAAATTTTGCACATGACATTTATGTAGGCAGCTCATCTGTTTCACAGTACATGACCAATTTTTTATTTATGGTGATTCTGGTCTTTCTCAATCATGTAGAGAGCACTTCCAGTCTGTGGTACATGACCAATTTGCTAATTATAGCCATTCTTGTCATTTAGATTCTTGTAGAGAGCACATTCAGTCCATGGTACATGACTAACTTTTTATTCACAGCTATTCTTGTCTTTCTCAGTAGTGGATGCTTTTGTGAGCACTTCCACCATCTGAAAGACAGTTCCAGGTTCAACAATACTTCACTTTTATGTGATTACATGGACTTATGATAACTTACTGTATCACCATTTAATCTTTTCTTTCTTGCATTTCAGATTCATCAACAAGCAGCAGTTGTATCTTATACCCTTCTATTCCACACCTTTATATATTCTTCATGTTTTCAAAATTTAGCTATGACTCTGAGGTCCTTATGTTTATCATCTACCTTTAGGGCCCTCATACATAGCAACAAATATACTGAACATTTAAAACCTTATCTTCCCCTCTGCAGACACCTGATATAGCTCTATCACCTTCTGGCCTGGTGCCTGGCTTCCACATGATCAGTTAATTTATGGGATAGCATCCAAATGGACCCTACTGCTCTCTCTGATTTGACTGTTCTTATTCTTTGCACCTCATATTCACCTCCCTATGTTGAAAAGGATTTGGGGCAACATATATATCCACACCCACATGGCATCCTGGAGTAATTTCACTGACAAATTTAGTACTGAATGGTAAGAGTTTACCTTTATGTAAGTACTGCATAATATGCATATACAAGCATCTTTGACACATTACAGGCTCCTGTTTTACTCTCTGCCGATGTTGCTTTCCTGGCCATTCTGAGCATCAATGATGCTAGTGCTGATGGAGGATGATTGATGATTGTCAGTATTGGTAGTATTATCTTAAGCACTCATATGAATGCTCATGATTGGTCCAAATACTTGGCAAGTGAATGCTCCTTTCACCTCAGTGTAAAGTGTAAGGAATTCATGTCTTTCTCAGTGGAAATTCCTGTGCTTGTGAAAACACAACCATAGAAGTATGGAGATCCTTGCCATTATGTACAGCTTACCTTATCTACTGCCATACTCATGTGGGTGTAAGTTTCTCTTCATTTGGTTTTTCCCATACTCTGACCTGAAATTAAGTATGGTCTCCTTTCTGGTTGCATTCAGCATAGTCTGTTTCACTGCCTCTAATTTATCCAACTGAATGCTCATGAGTGGTGCATGAATTCTTATTGACATCCTCATATTCTGGTACAGCATTGTATTTTGAGAAGTGAAGCATGTGCATGTTCCTTACATGTCCAAACTCACAGTACCAGTCAAATATTAGGACCAGTTGCCTGTAAATCCCATGAAGAGATTTCATATACATCAGATGAAGACACAGGCAGCAGTGGATGCTCAATGCTCAAGGGAGTGGAGGAGCTGATGATTCTGTACCAGAGTCCCATAGCATTTGGTAGGTTGTAATTATATGATCATCCTATGCACTGATAAGAAATTCATGTATATCCTGAGCTCCAGAATAGCCAGCCCATATTAGCATTGCTTCCAAGTCCAATTGAGCCATATTCTGACTAGGTGACAGCTATTAGTAATCAGAACATTTAGGTTTTGGTATTGTTTGCAGTATTTTTATACTGATCTCTCTACAGGACACATTGTATGTTATTGCCCAAAGGCTACTAAAATTGCCTCAAGTATCTACAGCTTAGCCTCTCTGATGCCATCAGATAATTCTTGTCAAAAAGTGCCTTGGCTTCAGTCCATACTTGTGTATTCTCCTGGTCAGGAAGCTGGAGCAAGGAGAGAAAAGGGGCCAAGCTGAACTGCTCCAAGAATTCACATGGAAGCAAGGAAGGGAGGTAATCAATAGATAACCACTGAAAGTGGCAGATTTTCAGTTCTGGAAATATTAACTGGTCAAGATACAATGATATCAGAGACATATCTGTGTAAAAAAAAAGACTTCTCATTGGACATCAACAGATACTATGAGTGAAAAGAATGTTGTGTTGATTATATATATGGGAATCAGGTTGAAAGAGTTCATAGTATCACAGCTGACATCAACAACTGTCAACAGCTGTAATCCTATTCCTGTGGAGAATGAGCTGTTCACATGTCAAGAACAGAGAGCCTCTTGGAATTCAGAGAGATGTAATTGATGAAGATGTTGACATGAAGAATCTCAGAGAAGGGGCCACCCTTTGCAGTTTCTGCCATATTCCACATGAGAATATCATCCCTGAGCACCAATGATCAGAATCTTGACACCTTTGCCACTACCACCTGAGGCAGTCTTTACAGTGTTAATCATAGCATCTTCATCATTGAAAGACATGAGATGCCCCAAGTTATTTCCTCTTTCTCTGTAATGCATGGGTAGCTGCCCCTGTGAAACTAACATTATAATCAAAAGCTGAAGGTTCACTTCATCTGGCTGACCAAGATGAGATAACAGCAGAAAGGTTAAGCAATTTTCAAAGAGCACAATATAGTCCTGGAACCAAAGTTCATAAGTTGGCCAAGTGCTATCACATATGAAGAATGTCCTCTGAGGCAACATCATCTTGCTGAACCCATAAAGATTGTGTTCTAGTGAGCATTGATGTGCAGTTAAAGATTTTGATCTAATGTCATAGTGGGTCCTTGGGTACTGATCCACACACCACTAGCTGAAGACATATTTAGCACATGCAAATGAGGAATGAATAAGTGTTACATTTATTTTACAATCTGAAATTCCTGAATTCATTTCTTAGGTCTCAAACACTTAACACTTTAGTCTGTCCATAACAGTTGTAAATGTATTTAGGGATCAAAGACTTTCTGGTGCAAATATTTTCTCTGCAATCATATGTACTAACATATACTTTTTATGTCATTGGTAAGAATACAAATGGTCACCAACAAAATGCAAATCAATGCAAGCAAATGCATATATACAAATGGAAAAAGCAAAATTCATCTGGCCCAATTTAATTAAGCTTAATAACAAAAAACTTTTATAGGTCAAAAAGTGCTTTGGCCTTGAATGTATCTCCACACTACATAGTCAAGTCAATCAGCTTGCCTTTGATCTTCAAAGCATACACCACATGGTGAAGTCAATCAGCTCACCTTTTATATTTCAATGAATACATGACACAGTGAGGTCACTCAGCTCACCTTTAATCTTTCAAATAATAAACCACACAGTGAATTTGTTCAGCTTGCCTTTCATCATTTGAACAATACATGAGTCTGTTTCTGAGTTTCTTTATAATTATCCCATACTAACCATCTCATTTTCCCTCTCTTCATTCAGTGCCCTCTGATGAAGGTATTGAGTATTACATGCACTTTTCTGGAAGTTCTGAGGAGTCTCAGAGCTCTATTGACAAAAGAAGAAATATTTTCCCATCTATCACCTTGTCAATCTTCTCCTCATCCACCATCACATTGACCTTCTCCTCTCTGGAATTTAGCAGTGAAATCATATCCAGCACTGCTTCCCACTTCTGATGTGTATGCTGTCTCCAAGGTGGAGACTCATTTCTACTATGCACACCTCCATTCTGCACCCACATTGCTTTATCACACAGGTAAGGAGTGGTCCCCACCCAGTGGACCTGAGGCCCAGCACCATTTGAAGGAGCTGTGTGAGGTCTTTGACCATCCAATTACACCTGTCTGAAATGATGACTTGGACTGGAGGGTTGTCAAGGTTTTAGACGCTCACATGGTCAGTTAATAGGTATCCATTATATCATAGAATTTGCTAACTAGGATTTCTAGATCCCATTTACAATGGTAGATGTTATTCATTTTAAGATGGTCAAGGTCAACAATGCATCTGAGGATAAAGAAGACACTGATAAAGAAATGGTTGAAGCTAATAAACTGGTTGTCAGTCCTGTCACTATATGGATAAGAGTCTTCTCTGAGTCTACCTCTGCCATGGCTGCCCACAACATAGCTCAGGATATCTTAGCCCTTCTCAAGGACTACCAGATCACCAACATCAATGTTGACTTCCACAAGTCCTTCTACATGTGCAAGGCTGATCCTCAGCTTCTCAAACCCATCTCTGTCAAGAACCCACTCATTGACATTGTCAGTCTCCTCACTCCCACCCTTGGCCTGCACATCTCTACTGAGGCCAGGCCCAACACTCAGGGAACAATAGCCCTCTATCTTGCCAGAGGTGGTGGCAGTGAGAAACTCTTGGGCCTTTCATGCCATCACATCTTCATCAGATCCAAAGAGGCCAACAATGACTATGTTTACCACTCCAGTGCACCTTGTAAAAATGTCCTCCTGCTTAGCAATAGAGACATAACTGACCTTGTTAATTCGATCAAAATCAATATCAGAGGATATAGCACAGTGGTGAAGAACTATAGAAAGGACATTAAAGGGTTTGAGGAGAGAGAGAAGGGCACCAATGCTACTGATGTTAGAGAGGCCAAGGTGGCCCAAATTAAGATTCAGGTGTTGCTAGATAGTGTGGAGAAGAAAATAGATGCACTTACAGTGTTGTGCAATCAGCTCAACAACAACTGGAACAGACTTCAAAATTGTGTCCTTGGACATATTCTCTGCTTTCCACCCATCAGTGTCAGTGTCAGTGAGCAGCATCTCATGGAGGACTGGGGTGTTTTCAAGATCAACCAAGCCAAGCTTAGTGATGGCTTCCAGGGTAATAAGATTGATCTTAGTATATTTTTACTATCTAACTAAGACTATCTACTAATCTAAATGTTATTTATATCTAGGAACAAAATTAACACCTGATCAGTTTAAGGAAAAATGTTTCATCCCTGGAGACACCAACTGGGAGTTCACATATCCCAAAGATCATCTGCTTCCACTTATGGGCATCATTCCTGACAACATTCTGTGCACCTCCAACATGTGGGACTTGGATGGTGAACCATGCTTGTTGGTCATCAAGAATGGCAATGCCACTAGCACCACCATCGGCCATGCAAATGATGTCTTTTCTATAGTTTGCAAATACTTCACTGACATGTCAATTGACCAAACCTCTATGGAGTGGGTGATAATCAACTATGACAGTAAGTCAGAAGTATTTTTGGAACCTGGCAATTCAGGCTCAGTAATTGCTGATATCCATGGCCATATTAGTGAGATGCTTACTGGTGGTTCTGGCAGGATGTTATCTTCTGATATGATCTATGCCACACTATTCTGGTGGCTCCTTGAGCATATCAAGCTGAACAGATTCTCTAATATGCACCTCAGCATTGTCACCTATGCATCTCAACATCCATAACAAAATCAAAGACTTAGTGCAGATGAATGCTTTGACTGCTGATGGATCACTGTTTAACTTCATCTTTATTTTTTGTCTTGTCTTTTCATACTTACAACTAATGACCTTGACATCTAGGGCTTGGACTAGTGGACTTGTCATATTGTCTCTCTCCTTGCAAGGGGTAGTTGTCATACTGAGGAATGTGCATGAGTTTAGTTGGCATGATAAGTCTTGGAACTATAACAGCTTAGTAAATGCAGTTAGTTATTCATTGCCATGCAACTGAATGAAATCCTACAGAAACTATGTCACATAGCAAATTGATCAGGAAAGTGACAACTTTGTGATGTGGTAACTGTTTAGTTAGGATAATGTCAATCAATTGATCAGTTTGTCTTTCCTCCTCATCTTCAGAGATTTGAGCTATGACTGGGGGAAAAGACAGTGAGTGGCACTGCACATATTGATGCACCTGAGTCATTGTCAATAGTGGTGATGCCATATTATGTATTCATTGAAATATAAAAGGTGAGCTGATTGACTTCACCATGTGGTGTATGCTTTGAAGATCAAAGGCAAGCTGATTGACTTGACTATGTAGTGTGGAGATACATTCAAGGCCAAAGCACTTTTTGACCTATAAAAGTTTTTTGTTATTAAGCTTAATTAAATTGGGCCAGATGAATTTTGCTTTTTCCATTTGTATATATGCATTTGCTTGCATTGATTTGCATTTTGTTGGTGACCATTTGTATTCTTACCAATGACATAAAAAGTATATGTTAGTACATATGATTGCAGAGAAAATATTTGCACCAGAAAGTCTTTGATCCCTAAATACATTTACAACTGTTATGGACAGACTAAAGTGTTAAGTGTTTGAGACCTAAGAAATGAATTCAGGAATTTCAGATTGTAAAATAAATGTAACACTTATTCATTCCTCATTTGCATGTGCTAAATATGTCTTCAGCTAGTGGTGTGTGGATCAGTACCCAAGGACCCACTATGACATTAGATCAAAATCTTTAACTGCACATCAATGCTCACTAGAACACAATCTTTATGGGTTCAGCAAGATGATGTTGCCTCAGAGGACATTCTTCATATGTGATAGCACTTGGCCAACTTATGAACTTTGGTTCCAGGACTATATTGTGCTCTTTGAAAATTGCTTAACCTTTCTGCTGTTATCTCATCTTGGTCAGCCAGATGAAGTGAACCTTCAGCTTTTGATTATAATGTTAGTTTCACAGGGGCAGCTACCCATGCATTACAGAGAAAGAGGAAATAACTTGGGGCATCTCATGTCTTTCAATGATGAAGATGCTATGATTAACACTGTAAAGACTGCCTCAGGTGGTAGTGGCAAAGGTGTCAAGATTCTGATCATTGGTGCTCAGGGATGATATTCTCATGTGGAATATGGCAGAAACTGCAAAGGGTGGCCCCTTCTCTGAGATTCTTCATGTCAACATCTTCATCAATTACATCTCTCTGAATTCCAAGAGGCTCTCTGTTCTTGACATGTGAACAGCTCATTCTCCACAGGAATAGGATTACAGCTGTTGACAGTTGTTGATGTCAGCTGTGATACTATGAACTCTTTCAACCTGATTCCCATATATATAATCAACACAACATTCTTTTCACTCATAGTATCTGTTGATGTCCAATGAGAAGTCTTTTTTTTTACACAGATATGTCTCTGATATCATTGTATCTTGACCAGTTAATATTTCCAGAACTGAAAATCTGCCACTTTCAGTGGTTATCTATTGATTACCTCCCTTCCTTGCTTCCATGTGAATTCTTGGAGCAGTTCAGCTTGGCCCCTTTTCTCTCCTTGCTCCAGCTTCCTGACCAGGAGAATACACAAGTATGGACTGAAGCCAAGGCACTTTTTGACAAGAATTATCTGATGGCATCAGAGAGGCTAAGCTGTAGATACTTGAGGCAATTTTAGTAGCCTTTGGGCAATAACATACAATGTGTCCTGTAGAGAGATCAGTATAAAAATACTGCAAACAATACCAAAACCTAAATGTTCTGATTACTAATAGCTGTCACCTAGTCAGAATATGGCTCAATTGGACTTGGAAGCAATGCTAATATGGGCTGGCTATTCTGGAGCTCAGGATATACATGAATTTCTTATCAGTGCATAGGATGATCATATAATTACAACCTACCAAATGCTATGGGACTCTGGTACAGAATCATCAGCTCCTCCACTCCCTTGAGCATTGAGCATCCACTGCTGCCTGTGTCTTCATCTGATGTATATGAAATCTCTTCATGGGATTTACAGGCAACTGGTCCTAATATTTGACTGGTACTGTGAGTTTGGACATGTAAGGAACATGCACATGCTTCACTTCTCAAAATACAATGCTGTACCAGAATATGAGGATGTCAATAAGAATTCATGCACCACTCATGAGCATTCAGTTGGATAAATTAGAGGCAGTGAAACAGACTATGCTGAATGCAACCAGAAAGGAGACCATACTTAATTTCAGGTCAGAGTATGGGAAAAACCAAATGAAGAGAAACTTACACCCACATGAGTATGGCAGTAGATAAGGTAAGCTGTACATAATGGCAAGGATCTCCATACTTCTATGGTTGTGTTTTCACAAGCACAGGAATTTCCACTGAGAAAGACATGAATTCCTTACACTTTACACTGAGGTGAAAGGAGCATTCACTTGCCAAGTATTTGGACCAATCATGAGCATTCATATGAGTGCTTAAGATAATACTACCAATACTGACAATCATCAATCATCCTCCATCAGCACTAGCATCATTGATGCTCAGAATGGCCAGGAAAGCAACATCGGCAGAGAGTAAAACAGGAGCCTGTAATGTGTCAAAGATGCTTGTATATGCATATTATGCAGTACTTACATAAAGGTAAACTCTTACCATTCAGTACTAAATTTGTCAGTGAAATTACTCCAGGATGCCATGTGGGTGTGGATATATATGTTGCCCCAAATCCTTTTCAACATAGGGAGGTGAATATGAGGTGCAAAGAATAAGAACAGTCAAATCAGAGAGAGCAGTAGGGTCCATTTGGATGCTATCCCATAAATTAACTGATCATGTGGAAGCCAGGCACCAGGCCAGAAGGTGATAGAGCTATATCAGGTGTCTGCAGAGGGGAAGATAAGGTTTTAAATGTTCAGTATATTTGTTGCTATGTATGAGGGCCCTAAAGGTAGATGATAAACATAAGGACCTCAGAGTCATAGCTAAATTTTGAAAACATGAAGAATATATAAAGGTGTGGAATAGAAGGGTATAAGATACAACTGCTGCTTGTTGATGAATCTGAAATGCAAGAAAGAAAAGATTAAATGGTGATACAGTAAGTTATCATAAGTCCATGTAATCACATAAAAGTGAAGTATTGTTGAACCTGGAACTGTCTTTCAGATGGTGGAAGTGCTCACAAAAGCATCCACTACTGAGAAAGACAAGAATAGCTGTGAATAAAAAGTTAGTCATGTACCATGGACTGAATGTGCTCTCTACAAGAATCTAAATGACAAGAATGGCTATAATTAGCAAATTGGTCATGTACCACAGACTGGAAGTGCTCTCTACATGATTGAGAAAGACCAGAATCACCATAAATAAAAAATTGGTCATGTACTGTGAAACAGATGAGCTGCCTACATAAATGTCATGTGCAAAATTTACTGTGAAATAAAGGGTTAAAAAACACCATATATGCACTAAATACAATGAAAAATCTGATATCCATCAGCTGATTTGATAATGCTGGACTGAATGCTAAATTCTTCAATAGAGAAGTAACATTCATTCATAACACTGGTCTACTGCTAGCAAAGGCAAAGAAAGTAAATTGGCTTTACCCCATGAAAATGCGAGTGCAAATGAATCCAGAAAGGTTACATATTTTTAAATGAAGTGAAAACACTTGGAATTCATAGCACCTTTGATATATGCATCTTGGAAAGAAGGGATTAGAGCAACTACAGAAGGATGGTATCATCTCAGTTGATCAAGACTCACTACCATTATCTGAATGTCAGGCATGCATACAAACAAAGAAAACACATCATCCATGCCCATAGGAGGGAAAAAATCGAAGCCAGAAGCATGGAGATGTCACTCAATGTGATATTTGAGGGCCTGCATGCATCACTTCACTCCAGGGATTGACATATTGAATTTACTGGTGATGCAATCTGACAATGTACTCCAAAGTTTATGAAGCAGAAAAGTAAGACATTGGATAAAATCAAGGAGTATATTACCTTTATTGAAAGGCTGTATTGCTTGACATGAAAAGTCATTTGAGTGGATAATGCCATGGAATTGGTGAGCAGGAAAGTCAAGGATTGACTGAAAGAAAAGGGAATGAAGCTGGAAACAACTGCTGAAACAACTGCTCCTTATGCACATTCATCAAATGAAGTAGTAGAGCAATTGACTGTTATGATTTTTCACCATTTTCCCCACTCTAACCCCTATTTATACTTAGTCAGGGCATCTACACTCACACTTAGAACTGTGGGAGAAGCTTATTCATTTAAGGTGAGCCAATCCATCATTGTTCTCTGATGTAGTGACCAGCCCTTGAAGATGCACAATTGACCTTTTGTGTACAGTAGCAATGTCCCAGGACAATAGGCACCAGGACTCAATGACATACAATAAGTAGTCTTATATTCAATCTTACAATATATAGTATATAAGCAGGCTCACTCTTGCTGGTAATCCCCAGCTTTGAGCTAAAGTTTATCTTCATACCATTTTACTCTTGAGCCAGTCATAAGGCCTTGTAGCACACCAATCAATATTCATATCAGTGGACTCTGCCATTTCACTCAAAGTGCAAAGTGATGACAGTTTATCCTATGTTTATAATCATGTGCAGCTTGGGTCTAATAATTAGCTCAAAGCTTCTTCCTTTTCCTCATGCACAATAGTGTGGAGGAAACTAAATGTCATCCATCAACCCAGAATCTCCAAACTTTGAC